TCTATCAGTTTACTGTTCTTCTGTATGCTTTCAAAGACCATCTGATAATTGAGAGAGATCTGCAAATCAATTATAAATTTTTACATTCAATTACCCAGAAGCACGGTATCCTACGGTTAAAAGAGAGAATGGGCGGGGTGCAGATCTGCAGTATGAGGAGCCTGATCCATTTTCTCCTTTGGAAGGTCATTTTCTCGTACGGTTCATCTAAACGCAGCAAGTTCCCATTTTCTTCATCGACATCAGCAACAGCTTTAGAGATCACTGCAGCAAGTAGGTTGCTTCGTGTTCTCGATCGACTGCATCTGTAGTGAACCAACCATTTGGATCAAATCCAGCAAGCCATCTTCCCCCGTTCGCAAACTGACCTGCTGCCTCCAATCGCATAAGTCAATCGATTCTCCTTCTTTCTGAATAGCACGATTCTCGCGATCTCCCGCACCAAAATTCGAACGTCTTACACAACCTTAATCGCATGATTTCTCCCGCGCTCCGTACCAGCCAATCTCTCGCGATGCCTGAGCTCGGTATATAAGAACTGAAGGCTGCGGCAATGCAATGCGGGCCCTAACAGGCGCCACCTCATTTCCTTTCTTCTTCCTCGGTCCCGGCGCCAACCCGTCGTCCGCCACCTACACGAGAAAATTTTGAGTAGCACGTCACGTCAGGCAAGTTATAGCCTCTCACATATGTAACTTTGTAACTTCTAATAAGTTTTATGCTCTGCTTTCATATATTTGTAATTTACGGGTATATTACAGAGAGGTTATAGGAGTATAACATAGATATAACCTCCAATACCCTCTAAATAATCTACTTGACGTATGTAGCGCTGCTTACGTAAATTTTTCTCCTCCACAGCCTCCAAAAGCTCCCAACCTCTCTAAAAATATGTTAGTACTCGTCCTCATGAGATCTAATGGTCCATAAAGAAGAGAGTACAACAAAGGAGAACGCGCCGCCAAAAGACTCAGTAATCCGATCAGATACAACCACCCGAGTCAAAGCTAAAGGCCAACTGGATGTACCTATCCGAGCTAAAGTCGAAGGGCAATGCAGTCACGAGAAAAACAAAATGACAACCAATTGATTTGAATACAAACTAATCGGACTAAAACAAAACAGATAAGCATTTGAGACTGTCACTATAAAAAAGCTAATCGAAACTAACAACGCAGCTTTTGATAAATCTTATTTGTGGAAGGATCCAATTCCTCGATATCACCAACCATTTCACGAACAACCCAGATACTCATCACTATGAATCAAAATTGATAATACAATAGAATATTATAGTCATCACATAAGCTCTTCTCGTTGAGGATTGAGCTACCTATCTGCCAAATAGTTTAGTCTCGCTCCGCCAACAAGAGCTCCTCATCCACGAATCAAGGGTCGACAACCAAACTAGATCAACTGATCAGCAAAGCCTAGCCAATCAAATTGGATCTACCAAACCAAAGTTAATCAAGCTCAGCAGACCGACAATGCCGGCTTAGCCTAACAAACCAAACCTACCTTATCAAACTGAGTGCAAACAAGCTTAGTTGACTAAGTCAGAGAGCGTCAAATGATAAACCTTTAAATGTAAAACACCTATAATATCCTATATAACCCTCATTAAAGTAGGAGCATAAATATAATATCAATATAGCATATCATCTCCCTTATAAATAGGGAGATCATTTTATAAGAATACATGTATGCACAGAACATATTATTGTTCATTATTGTCCACTCCTCTCGGTCTCTCTCTATCTCTGTCTTCTTTCTTACTTTCTCTTCTTCGGGATGTGATTCACAGACAAATCAAGATTTAACATCCTATAAGATGTGGTACACACGGATCATGTCACAGACAAAACTAGAAGCAACACACGAAGAAGAAACTCACAACAGAAACTATAGTAATATGGAATACACAAGAGAAGTACATAACTAATAGATTCAAGAGCTGAATAATCAAATATTAGATGTCAATCGAGAGGCATTGGCTCGAAAAAGAGAGCAGCATCCCCAAGAAGGGTCGACGTCCCATTGTCGAAGAGCTCTCTTATCCCCAGAAAGAGAATGAGGCTCTCATTACTTCGATAGTACAGGGTTGACACCGATCAATCAACCAACATCGATTCATGCATACTGAAGCACCCTATAGCCAGAGAATACATTCTCTAGGAAAATCTCTGAGGCAAAGCCCACATAGAGGTTCAAGTATCTCAACACCGGAGTCCTATAAGGGCGAGATCGATCCGACCGACCACATAACCTCATTCGAGTCAACTATGCTTCTGTTAAGGATCACCGACACACTGAGGTGTCGTCTTTTCTTCACCATGCTGATGGAGTCGTCCCTCAGGGGTTCAATGCATTGCCACCAGGAGTAAACTATGTATCTGCTGAGAAACACCGACGCACTGAGGTATTGTCTTTTCTTCACCATGCTGATGGAGTCGCCCCTCAGGTGGTTCAATGCATTGCTGCCTGGAGTGATCAAGTCGTTTGCTAACTTCAACCAAATGTTTACGGGGTAGTTTGACAACGCCCAGAAGCCGCAGAAGAATTGGCAGACCCTCCTATAGATCTCATAGAAACAAGAATGAGAGCCTTCTCTCGTTCATCACCCGCTTCCAGAAGAAGATGTTGGAAGTGTGAGATTTGGAGCTCGTATTAGCTCGTTACCCCTCAATGGTTGAAAGAAAGATCATTCTGGTACGCTTTCGACTTGCAGTGACTAAAGACGATAACTGCCAACAATCATATATTGACAAAAGAATACAAGCCTTCTGCATCATTCAGAAACGAGTGAGTAAACCGCCATCGCCAAAGAGAACCGATAGTGGAGAAAATTGAGAGCCAAAACATAAACCTCATCGCTCGGCTCGAACTCGCTCCGAAGAATAAAAAAAGACACTCGGATTACCGAGCGACCAACGGATCATACCATCGAGAGAGTTAGGCCTAACATCTTGACCAACGCCTAGCTCAACAAGCAACTCGAACTTGCCCTAAAGAATCAGAAAGGCACTCGGATTACAGAGCGACTGATACCGCATAGGGAATCGGGCCTGATATCTCGACCGACGCTAGCTTGACAAAGAGAATGTGTTATCATTCCAAACATTATATTTTGTGGTCAAATTCATAAAAATGGTAAAAAAATTTCTGATTATGCGTATAATATGAGATATGGTCGACACTCAGAGAACTTGAAAAGTTCATGCAAGGATCATCCTAGGGGAACTCAAACCAATCAGCAAATGGTGATTCCACCTGAGCGCAAAACCGGCAACAATGCAAGATGTTTGATCAATAAAGATTTTCCAAAACCAACAACGATGCAATACGTCTAATCAATAAATATTTTTCAAAACAGACAACTACGAATAAACATCTGATCAGGAAACATCATTTAAATTTGATCGACAATGTTAATTAATGTCCGATTGACAAAATGCACAAAAACTGATCTACAATGTCCAAGCATAAGAAAAATCTATCTCATAGCTCAAAATGGGTCAAGTTCTGACAGTTAATTGATCTATAAAAGATACATCTTTTGTCATCATGTGAGAGTGCAAACGATGTTGTACGTTCAACTTACTAGTCATACTTTTCGTTATGCATCATTATTCTAATTTCAGCCATAATGTATCAACACTCTTATCCTTCAAAAAATCCTATAAAATATATTTTAACAAATGAAAATGGATTTGACAAAAAGTCTTTCAATCTTTACATTACTTGTCCACCAACATACAAGATGGGGACATTTTCTTGAATCCAAATAACGTATTATTTAGATCCTTTGTGCTAAAACAACTAGCATCTTAACCTGCCAAAGCGAAATCTAGTATTGCAATGTAAATAAGGATTGTCATACTTCACTGTTGTCATCATCAAGATTAAAATTTATCTCTGATAGCACTTGTTGTAACTCAATATTTAATCGATGCAACAATAATAAAATAAATAAAAGAAAGAATAAATTTTACGTGAAAAATTCAAGATAGAAAAACCGCAAGCAAAGAAATAGAATTCACTATAATAAATAAGAAATTATAAGTAGAGATCTTCAGCCAACATAAAACCAACGCAGTGAAAAGTGAGTTCACTTGTACAAAATAAAAGGGTGATATTTATAATTTTTAGCAAGATCCTTTAAAAGAAATAATTAAAAGAGTACCGATAAAGCAAGAGCACAAAGATTTTAATCTAAAGACATAGATCGATTGAACGATGGAAACCTTAAATCCCCATGCGTAGAGTTTCTTTCTAAAATCTTAATCCGTGAGCTCACAATTTCCTTACGAGACAAGGGAGACTCACAAAAATTCATGTCACAAATTTAGTAGTCCTATAACTATAATTGTACACTATGATTATAGCTTGATTGTTCTAGTATCAAATCATCAAAATAATCTCATATATTTATAGACTAGTTTAAATCAAATCTATAACTTTTGAGAAATTTACATATATATACCCCACAATTCTTACGTATTTACATATCTAGCACCCAAAGTTTGATATTTGCTCTTAAAACATCATGGTGTCATTAACTTATGCATGAAAACATGCATTTTACTTTTAAGAAGTGATCGTGGTATTTTTTTATGTGATGCTAATGATTTCGGTAATATGCATTTAGATTGAAAATTTTAGAGGTTAAATATGTAAATAAATAAGAATTGTGAGGTATGTGTGTAAATGCCCCGTCAGTATTTTTATGTTTTATGGTGTTTGATATTTTTTGTAATTATGTTGTGATTCATGATAATTACTACAAGCTTAACATTTTCATGGCATGATGACATACTATTTTCTTAACATTGCTAATAGTGGGCAAACAGTTATGTCACAGTCCAATGACTGTGCGAATCGAGTTAGATTCAGACTTAAATGCAGAGACTGCGTGAAATGAAATCACTCGATAGTATTTTGATTATATTGAGCATAAAACTCCCAAGTACAATGTATAAAGTAACACAGTAAAAGCTTACTCTTTTGGTCTTCTCAAGTTCATGTTCAACTTGTCTTATTCTCTGCCAAGCTTCTTGAAGCAGTAGCTCTTTCTCAATAGGCATTTGTGCTGGTCTGCTGCTAATCTCAGTATACAGTATCTCAAGTCTCTGAAGATGTTTTAGACACATATTTGTACTGTCTTCACTGACAACTTCCACTGATGGATGTGGACCGGGAGCAGGACTCAACATGCGTAGAGCATGAGTCCTTTGCGAGTCTTTTTTGTGTACAAAACCCAAAATTTGAAAGAAGCACAATATTTTGATGAAAATACACGGTAATACTGTCGAAAGAGACCTCAAAAAGAATCTCACAGAAGTATCTTTTGCCACATTTTTCGTGCAATCAGTCGAGGTACCTGCTGCTTTCCATGAAAATTCTGGCAATCAAAATCAAAATCGAGATATATGCTATTTAAAATCGGAAACCATAAAATGGTATTAGGGATGCAGTTCTGCACTTGTTCAGTCATTTAAATGGAAAGCCAAAGATTGTCAAATCTTGTTATTAGGACATGAAACAGAATACTATGCCATATATGGATTCAAATAAATTAAGGCGGGGTTCAAATCAGATTTACTTTAAATAGAATTTATCAAATCCAATAAATCTAGATTTATGAAAATCAGGTGGTGATGGAGGAGCACACAAGCAATGACATAATAAATCAGTCTCGCAAATGATTTATTAAAACTGGATTTACATCATAAAAAAGACGGAACGGGAGGAAAAAAAAAAGACGGCGGGTGAAAATTCAATTTAACGGAGTGTTGGACTTAATTTTTATTTTTTTTAATTGGCTGGATTTAAGTTAAATTGATAGCTAAATTCAATTAATAGCATGTTACCAAACATAGCCTAAGTGTTGAATTAAGAAGTGTCCGAGAAATACACCCAAAATATAGAATGTCACACTAGTAGAGAACAGTAAATAATGAATAACCTTAATTCATGATATTGACTCCCTATTTTATGTGAAATGGTCCTGATCCTATAAATTATAGATTTTCTCCCTCAATATTAGCTTTTTAAGGGGGCCCTTCAGTAATTATAAGCATATTTGAATGTAATACGACGGTGAGAAGATCGCCGATCGTTTATCATGCTTTTACATTGCCAAAATCCTTCGGTAGGTCCTTACGGTTGTTCGCCTAATATTTTCTTAGTTAGCATCCAACTTGTCGGTCGTTAATAGCTACGATCAACTAGTTACGCTATCGGCCGCCCCTTTTTTTGAGCCGCTCATTTGCTTTGAGATTCATGTCAACATAATTTTTGTATACATATTGAGTTCTCTAATTTCCTTATTTCTTAAAAACTATGCAGTACATAAGAACAAGGGAACTTTTTTCAGTGGTGTAAAAAATACATAGAAAATACGAATTAAAATAATGGACTTTTCTGGATTTTTGTGCCCAGACCGCTAAAAATAAGCCACGGGATAGGAAAGGTTTGCGCCATCTCCTTTCTTCCCATCCTTTTCTTCTACCTGCGTGTCACAATGCCCAGTGAAGGAACGTCGATGGATAGGAGACACATGTGTCAGGCGGCTGATCATTATCACGCCCTTGCATGGGAAGCCTCACATTTCCAAGGGATTCTCTTGGATACGGCCGAAGAATAAACTGAGATGTTTGCCTTGTGAGTACAGAAGTTAAAACGAAGAACCTTCATGGCCGAGGAAAGATTGAAACTGTCTGTGGAGGAGAGGGAACACGAGGCCCGTGTGACAACTTTTCTCAAGGAGAACAAAAGATTAAAAGAGAACATGTCCTCAATGATTACCCGAAAGGAGCATGTCAAGGGTCTCGCCTCCCAGATTACTGTCAGCACTTCCCTGGCTATCGAGAGATTCATAAAGCATAAGTTAGCCAACCCTAAGTGGTGGGATATGACGGAGTTTGGCATGCTTCTTTCGGATCCAAAGGACGAAGAGAAAGAATCTTTGAACGAAAAGTTTGGTGAGGTCGGGGCCGCAGAAGAAACTAGGGAGGAGGGTGTCAAGGAGTCTTCGAATGTCTAGAGCCGAAGAAATGTCATTCTCTTTTCTCTTTCTTTTTGTGTTGTTTCTGTTTATTGTGGTTTGTAAGAAAAGAAAAAAGAGATCAATCGAGTTTTTGTAAAATAATTTTAATGTAAAAGTTATTGAAGCTGAAAGTCTTGTTTCTTTGAGGTCGAAGGTTTTGTTTCTCATGCTACATTGTTCTTTTATCTTGCTATTAACTGTCTCCAGACAACTTGTCGTTTTGTTTCTTATGTAAGCTGTCGGGTGTTAGCCTTAGGAGGACTTAGCTTACCATGATCGTTTTTGTAACTCTTGTTGAGCTTGTTGTTGTCAGGTGCCAAAGACTCCCAACAGTTATTGAAAAAGAGATCAATCGAGTTTTTGTAAAAGAATTTTAATGTAAAAGTTATTGAAGCTAAAAGTCTTGTTTCTTTGAGGTTGAAGGTTTTGTTTCTCAAGCTACATTGTTCTTTTATCTTGCTATTAACTGTCTGCAGACAACTTGTCGTTTTGTTTTTTATGTAAGTTATCGGGTGTTAGCCTTAAGACTTAGCTTAGGATGATCGTTTTTGTAACTCTTGTTGAGCTTGTCGTTGTCAAGTGCCAAAGACTCACAAAGGCGTTTAATGAACGTTGCAAACCCCTTCCAGAACTTGTCGCTGGCGGGTGTTAACGTTATGGTCGAGGCTCAGGACTATCACTTTTGCACCCCTCTGCGAAGTTTGTCACTGCCAGGTGCCGAAACATCCTATAGGCCACTAGCAATCACTACACACCTCTAACAGAGCTTGTCGCTGTTAGGTGTTAACGCCATAGTCAGGGATCAAAAATATCGCTTTCGCACTCTTCGCGGAGCTTGTTGTTGTCGGGTGTTGAAACGCCACATAGGCCACTAGCAATCGTTACACACCCCTCGCAGAGTTTGTCATTGTCTGGTGTTAATGTAATGGTCAGGGCTCAGGATGCTCGTTTTCTTACCCCTCGCAGAGTTTGTCGTTGTCGGGTTTCGAAACATCCCATAAGCCACTATCGATCATTACACACCCCTCGCGGAGCTTGTCACTATCAGGTGTCGAAACGTCCCATGGGCCACTAGCGACCGTTACACACCCCTTGCGGAGCTTGCCTTTGTCGAGTATTGATCGCTTTTTTGGACCAATTAGTTTTAATTTCTAGCAATGTTAGTTCCCCAAACGTAACAGTGTCAGTTCCCCGAGCGTAAAGAAAGTAAACAAAAATGTTGTTAAGGTATGCTTTATTCATAATATTGAGCATCTTTGCAAAAAAGTACGAAAGGGAGACCAAACAAAACAATTAAAACTTAATTTTTTCATTAAGAAGTGGTCATAAAAAACTTAAGGGAAGAATTTTTTTAGTTCGTCGCCACTCCATGTTCGAGGGACCTCGTTTCCTGTGAATGTCTTCAGTTTGTATGCTCCAGACCCGATTCTCTGATGAATGATATTGGGGTCATTCCAAGTTTGATTCAGCTTCTCGATATATTGCCCTCTTGTTGCGGCGTCGACTTTCTTCAATACTAAGTCTCCAGAGGTAAATGTTTCTTCACAAACATGTTTGTTGAAGTACTTAGCCATCCTCTGCTTCATTTCTTCTTGTCGAAGGGCTACGTTGGCTCGATTTTCTTAGAAGAGGTCTAGGGCGAGCTTGAACCCTTTGTCTTTCGCCTCGCACCATTCTTCTAGGTCCCCTTCATTGAAGATTGAGGTGGTGAGCACCCTCTAGCTCTAGTTGTTCTACTCAACTGGTATTATGACTTCCATTCCGTGGGACAACATTAACGGAGTTTGACAGGTTGATGAAGAAGGCGTTGTTCGAATTGCCCAAAGTACTGAAGGGATCAGGTCTTCCCATTTGCCCTTCGCTCCTACCATTTTTAATAAATTTAGAATAAACTTGTTCGCGGCCTCCACCTGCCTGCTAGTTCGAGGGTGATGTATGGAGGTGAACTTGAGGTTGATCCCTTAACACTTGCAGAAATCTTGGATTTTTTCGTCAACAATTTGGTTCTATTGTCGGTAATGATGACGAGGGACAACCCCTATCAGCAAATCAGGTCGGTCTAGATGAAATTTAATTGAGACAACATGAAATATAACAATAATTTCATTTTAAACCTTGAATGTGTGGAATAAGTCACTATAACATGAACTAATGTTATATATTCAGATTTCCCAAAAACTTGTGAATTCTGAGGTTTCTGTTTGCACTTTGGTTCTCGGTTTTGATGATGCATCTGTTTTATATAGGCATCTTCTTTGGACCCTGTATAAATCTCTCGTTTTGATAGATTTCATACTCTTTATCCTCATGTTTTGACTTGGAGGTCTATGACTGAGATACAGTTTTGATCCTCACCGTGATCAATTAAACCATCCTAACGAGGTGGATGTGCAATTTTATGGAACTTATTATGAACTTAAACCTTAAGCTACACTGAAGCTCATTTGGAAGATTTTTCAATTTGTTGCTTTGTTTATTCAATTTTATAAATTTTCTGCATCAAATGTTGTTGATTGGATATTTTCTCTTCTAGTAGCATGTTTGTTCTCACTTTTTTCTGCTTTGACACTTAATCTTCTTATATGGCTTTATTTAAAATCCTCGACTTTGTTGTGTTTTTTATTCTTGCGTGTAATTCTTGATGGTTTCTTGGTCTTAAATACCATTACCTTGTGAGCAAGAATATGAGCTTATCGTTGATGGTTTCTTAGACTTGTGCCCAGGGGATGCCTGACGAAGAACAGATGATGCTCCTCTATGGCCATAGTCTACAGCTTTATCAACAACAACGAAGTGGTCATCACAGCTGTGGTAAGCTGTTGAATTCTGAGGTCTCACCTGTGGAAGACAACATTCAGAAACATTTTAATAAAATCGGGAAACACACAAGCACATGCTCATTCTTATCATTGCTTAACCAATATAAATCATAAAACTGACCATAGTAGGAGCAATAAAATCCCAACAGGACACGAAAGATAAAACTTGTAGTGTAAAAAAATGCGCAAGCATTGGCTGGAGTGATTGCAACAATGAATGAGAGAGATGGTCACATATTATCCATTTGAAAGCTACTATATTTTCACTCGCTAGTCTTAACTATCAAACAAACTTTTTAGAGTACATCGTTTTGATTCCCAACAATTGAAGTTAAAAATGGGTGATCTACAGACTGTCAATGCAACGGTAGTTCAAAGTCGTCATACTAGGTGAGCTCTGCGCTCTTACTGAAAAAAATTTTGATGCAGGGCTTTGGGGGAAGGCTGACTGAACATGCTGTTAGAAGAGCCAGATGAACCGGCCTGGGAGGTTCTGGCCCGACCTCCCGCTGGACCAGCCGGTCCATAGAAAGGGAGGGATTTGCCGTCCGCCTTGCCCTTTCTTTCCGGGATTTGCCGACACTTGTCCCACCATTCCTTAACTATCATATTTCTCCATAAAGTATTAATCTGATTTAATAAGCCATCAGATTTGATTATTTTCTATTGTTTTAAGAATTAGAATTTACATGTTTTACTAAAACCTGTTGTGATTTGTTCTTCCCGTCTAACAAGAATAACAGATTTTAAATTTTAGTAGAAATTATCACACAAAATTTATTAAATCCATTGCAAAAAAAACTTTTGGGATTCAACCCTTTCAAGTTTTGTTAAATTCAAATTTGCATGACTTTTGGGATTCAACCCATTTTAAAGTTTAGGTGTTATTTATGTAAATAAAGATTTACATACATATTACTCACTATAAATTTACAAACAATTTTATTAAATAGGGGCAGAATGGTCATTTGTTTGAAAACAACTGTCATAAAGTTGTTTTCAAACAGCTGCAACAAACTAATAGCCAGCTTCCCCGCAATAATTTCTTGGGGCAGCTAAGCTGCAGCTAAAAAGCTGAGAAGTTGCAGTTGCCCCTGCAGCTGCCCCAAATAGACCGTTAGTTCAGATTGGTGTTGAGACCCCAGGAGAGCAAATCGATATAGAGTTATACTCACAAATGGAGAAAACTCCTCCAATGCTTTGGTAGATAGTGCAGCCGACGGTGGGATTCAAGTGTTGTTAGGATTAAAAGCGAGGAACCAGAAGATGAATGGGGTTGAAGCTCTCCCAGTCCCGGGAGACTGACGTGGGGCTTTGGGGGAAGACCGTGTTATGAAAAAAAAAACTGTAATAAAACAAAAAATCAGATCGAAAAAAATGCAAATAAAAAGGAACACAAAGATTTACGTGGTTTGCAAAGATTTACGTGGTTTGGGTTTGGCAAATTGCCTACGTCAACAGAGTTGCAGATGATTTTATTAGCTTGAGGATTACACCCGTCGATCACCTCGACAATACAATAAAATATCTCTCTCTCTTCCTTTCTCTCTCCCTCTAAACCGAGAGCCACCAGAGAACTACACGAGAAGAAGAAGAATATAAAAGAAAAACAGTTTTCTTTTTCCATGTAAGCTTCGCACCGAACGACCAGGACAAGGGAGCAGCTACTATGTTATATTTAATTCTTCTATAAGCTTAATCGCATGCTTAATCACCTTCTTGTGAATATAAATGTATTTATAAATCTTTTTTTAGACCCATTAAGGAAAACCTTAATTGCAAATATCCCTCCTTCATATTCCTGGCTTTAATCTCAAAATCTGGAGAAGCATTAGCGGGATGATAATTAAGGAAGGCTAATTAATATCATAATTAACACATTTAATTATTACCAAAACAGTAGCGAACAGTCTCCACTTTCCTCAGCAACTATCCCACTTGAAGCATTTACTACATCACTCACTGACTGCATCGTCCTTTTTCCTCAAACATGATATCCTTCATCTCTGCAACTCAAAGCCCATGTATTCAAGTTAGAAGACCAACTGAAGTTGCACACAACTTCAGTTTCACAAGGGTAACACCCTTAGTTGACGTATCAGCGTCAACGTAACATTTTACCTCCCAACTCTTTTCTAGGTTACTCATATATCTGCTTACAACTCCCACCACATGGGCAATATTATGACTCTGTTGAAGGCCTTTATCAACAAATCCAACATTGTACCTCTTATTGTCATCAAGCTCAGTCTTTATCCAGTACACCCACTTGTTGTGTAATGTCTTCTTCCCTAGTGGAAGTTCTGTCAGCTCCCAAGTTTGATTCCCTGGCAAGGAATCCATCTTCTCATTCATAGCCAACTCCTACTTGCTCGAATTTTCATATTGCAAGATTTATTCATAGCTCTGACTTATGCGACCAAGTCTGCAATGCCATAGATCTGTCGTGCTCTCTGCAACTGTAGTAGCAACATTGTTGAGTAAACCTATAGTCATATATAGTGTGTCAGTTTTCTTATTCCAAGTCAATACTAATGCTCCTTTGGTAACATTCTAGGTGTTATCTGAGAACACTACCGAATGACCACCCTCATTGAGTTGTCCAATATAAATAAGATTTTTTTCAACTCAGAAATGTGTCTAACTGTTTGCAAAGTTCATTTGCTCTTATTAAGAATTACAATATCAATGTCTCTCATCCCCACCACGTTTAGAACTTTTCCATCAGTCAGATATATCTTCCCAAAGTCACCTACAACATAATTTCACATTAACTCGCGATGACAAGATGTATATAAAGAAGCCCCTAAATCCAGTATTCAGTCATCAACAAAACTGTGAACTGTCTGCAATAGTGCATCATGTATTTCTTCAGTTACAACATTAGCGTTATTATTATTCTTTTTATTGAGATTTCTGCAGTTCCTTTTTATGTGGTCAGTTTTGCCACAATTCTAGCAGGCTGCTTGCTGACCAGGATTTGATTTTAATCTTCCTCTGTTTGAGTTCTTGTCCTGTGATCTTCCTCTGAAATCAACATTCAGTGTCAAACTCAAACCCGAGGTATTGCCAGAATCTTTATTTCGCACATCATCAACCAAAATTAAATCACGAATATCATCAAAATTAATTTCCACAAAACTGCTATTAGATTTACCTGCAGGACCGTTAAACTGCCATCCTCATTACTTCTCAGCTATTTGACAATAAAGTCAACAATATCAGCGCATGTATCTCATCGTCAAAATTAATTTCCACAGACGAAAATTGATTTGTGATGGTATTGAAATCATTCAGATGTTAAGCGACATACACTCCTTCCGTCGTCTTCAATTTGAATAATTTTTTTTATCAAGTGCATCTTGTTATTCGCCTATGATTTTTCATACATACCTGATAGAACTGTCATGAGATCTGCAATAGTCATCTCCTTGATGACATTGTGTGCAATAGATCTTGACAGAGTTAATCGTATAACCCCCAGAACCTGTGGATCTAACAGATTTCATTTCGTCTAGTCCATCTTTTCTGGTCGTTTTCCCAGTAACGAAAGATGAAGTTTCTTCTCATATAGAGAGTCTTCTATTTGCATCCTCCAGTTACCAAAATCTACGTCATTAAACTTCTTGATCCCTGATGTCATCACTTCATCTCCGACCATCATTTTGCCTTAAATCTGAAACCACTACTCTGTTACCAATTGTAGTGAAAAAAACGACGACAATAAAGAAAAAACTGGAACGAGAAAAATCGCAAACAAAAAGGAACACACAAATTTAAGTGGTTCGATAAATTGCATAAATCCACGAAGTTGCAGATGATTACACCCGTCGATCACCTCGACGATTACAAGAAAAGATCTCTCTTCCTCTCTCTCACTCTAAGTCGAGAGCCACCCAAGAGCTACACACGAGAAGAAGAAGAATACAAAAGAAAAACACCCCCCCCCCCCCCCCCCCCCCCACCCCCAATAAGCTCTGCACCGAACAACTAGGACAAGAGAGCAGCTACTATGCGACTTTTAATTCATCTGTGAGCTTAATCGCATGTTTAATCACCTTCTTGTGAACACAAAGGTATTTATAAATCTTCTTTTAGACCCATTAAGGAAAACCTTAATTGTGAATATCCCTCCTCCATAGTCCTGGCTATAATCGCAAAATCTAGAGAAGTATTGGTGGGAGGGTAATTAAGGAAGGCTAATTAATATCATAATTAACACCTTTAATTATTACCAAAACTGCAGTTGACCAAATCTCCACTTTCATCAACAGGCCGTTGAACCAATCATTTCAGGATCAGAAGTAAACATAAAAATGTTATGATTAAATTGGAAATCTAACTAAGATTACTTCTGAAAATAGGAAGAGGACTCTTTTAGGAGTGAGTCAAGAGTTTGTTGTACGGGCTTTCTGCAACATCACCATTGGGGAGGCGTAAGAATATTCTGATAATTTCCATATTTTTACTTAATTCCAGTACCATCTTCCTTTCTTCTTAGTTCAGTTATTCTTCATCTAACCAATGGCGCATTTGTAATTGGACCAGAACATTCGAAAGATTTGCGAATATAAGAGAAATAAAAATACCACGCATCACATCTTATAAACATGCACTCTTGCTCTACAGTTTATTGGGAAGAAGAAAGCCTTACAATTATTTAAATTGCATCATAACTTACTTCCTCAGGAACAGTGGTCAAATGCGTGTGCTCTGACATTCTAGAAAAAGGAGGTGAACAAAAATCATCAATATCTGATCCAGATTCAGCAGTAGATGTGTCACTGCATCTTCCCTTTACAAGGAAGCCAAATATTTTCAATCAGAAATTGAGGCGTGAATTCATCACACATGCAAAAATTAGAAGAAAGACCAGTAGAGATCTATCAACTCAGAACGCAAAATTTTACCTTTGAACTTTGAAGCCAGGAACCAAATCCACTTCTTTGTTCTTTATTTTCTGCTTGTTTGAGTTGCTTTAAAATTCCTGACTGAGCATTGTGCACATACTAGATATAGATGAGGATAAGCGGTCAATATCTTAGGTATGAAAAAGCTACATAATCATTAGTAACATTAACTAAATATTAAAAATATGTTATTAACAGGAACAAAAAGAGTCGCAAACCAATTGAACAATACTTGGTACCTTAATAATTTCAGGATCATTCCATGGTCCTTTATTGGACATAAGGCACCCACCCACATTAAAACAGACACACGACCCACCCAAGAAATCTGGTAATTGGCTGAAAAAAAAAAACCGATAATGCTGTTATAAAAAGGAAGCAGGAAAATAATAATAATTAAATCACACTCCCAAGGCAGTAGACAAGCATAACAACCTTGAATCAATTGCTTCCAGTAGTGCCTGCTGATATTTTGTTCCCAGCACCTAAATGTATAAACCAAAATTTGATGATTGCATAATGCTGCAAGAATGACTAAAAATAAACTCCAGAAAACAGAAGCTGCATACCCTTATCTTTGCTGCAGTGTTAGGGTCAAGAAAACCCTTAACAGAATTCCAGAGAAGCTTAAAACCATGACCAGCGTTTATAATGAACAATTGATGTAATATCTGTAAAATATAGTAAACATATTATGCTTTGGCTTCACAGACGTAACGAAATAAATCTCGAACAGAAAGTACCTCAGGATAGTAATCACCACCAATTTTCTGCATATTTTGCAATAGTTCTCTTGCAGCCTTGCTAAGATTCTTTAAACTCTGAATAAAAATAAGAAGCATTTACATACATACCACAAAATCCCTACTCATTTACATCTCTAACCCCAAGATTTGATTTTTACATTTATAACACTAAATCATTCATATCACATCAAAAATACAACTTTTTAACTTTTAAAAAGTAAAACACATCTTTTAAAGCATATGTAAAGTGGTACAAATGAAAAAATTAAGGTTTAGGCACAATGCGCCTGTCAATCAAATCATATCTCTACGGTTAAAATACTTAATGCAAGAAGGATGCAACTGCCTTCTGCACCATTATTAGCAACTAGCTAAAAGGCAAACTTACCAATCCCTGCACATCTAATATGGTGGTTGTTGAATCAATATGTTTTTTGGCTGCAATTGAACATGCAGGGAACTTCACATGAAGTATTTTCTCAAACTCCTGCACATGATACTTTATATAGCGCTCCATTGTAGTTATATTCATAAGTTTACAGGGATCAACTTTTCCAAGCATTTCAATATAAACAGGCCTTCCTTCTTTGTCAACACCATGGTAACAACGAGGATAGAAACGCAGGACTTCTTGAAATTCTCCATAGTGAAAATCCTACAAGGGAAAATTTCAATGATAAACTTTGTCAGGAATGTTGAAAAAAAGAATCCAACATCCAAGTACATGACATTTTGCACTCATAAAAATTTTATTTATAACTGAATTCTCAAGCAATTTCAACAAAAAAATTGAGGGCCCACCTATCGGATAGAATAGAAACTGATTAGGAAAATATTATAAAAGCAGAAAAAGACCAAAATGATCCTTTGATATATTTGTGGGGGTTCATTTGAGTCTCATACTATATAAAGTTTTGATTTATTCTTTGAATTTTTAAAATAAAAACCAAAATAGTTCCGTTATTAAAAGTAATGAAAATTCAAGTTAAAATTATTAAATGGTGTTAAAAAATGAGGATATTTTAGAAATTTGCGACTTAAAAGTTTATTAAATTTAATTTCCCACTTCACTTTTATGAGTATAATCTATTGATAAGATTCTCAATCTCTTATTTCATTATCATATGCTCTATGATGAAATTAATATATATTATATTTAAAAAAAAAATATCCCAAATTAAAAAAAAAACATCATTTATTAAATTTTAAAAAAAAAATCAAAATGTAAATAACTGAAATACATTCATTTTTAGCATCATCAGTTAACTTCAACATCAATTTTAGTTAAAATTAAGGACAGAACTATCTCGACTCCTATTTTAAGAAAACAGGAACTAAATTAGACTTCTTAAGCAGTATGATACTTAAACGTTTCCATACAAATAGTTTAATGAATATTTAAGTCTTTTTCTCACTACAAATATTCTGGCTGAGAAGAAAAAGCCAACAAAAAATAGATAAGTACAAAAAGAATAACCTTCAAATAATAAGGAAATGAATACTTATAAATGGCACTATATTTACAAAAATAACTCATATTTTATCCTTAAGATAACTACATTATTTTATCAATTTCATGCAATTTATATAAATTAATTATTTGGAGTATTATTTTGTTCTTCAATATACCAGCCAATTAAAAACTTGTTTTGCAAAGATCAGCACAGAGCTTCTATATGAATTATTCCTTCAGAAGAACCTAGGAAGAAAATATCACTATCCTAATTTGGTTGAGCACATACAAAGGAAAGCCTAAGTATAAATTTTTGAGATGAGATGCAATCTTCATAATCAGATGTAAAAATCCGTAGTTGTAATGGAGCAACTGAGAAACAAGCTGATAAATAAAAGACAAGGCCAATGTGTAGAGACTATAGTTTAGCACCATATCGAATTAATGAAAATATGTTAGGAGTAGCAATAAAATGTTGTTATCCTTTTATTATAGGTTTATGCTTTTTTGAGTTAAAAATAAGTTTTGGCATAGGTGTGTATTGGTCAACTCTTATACTCCTTTGGTTCACTGAATAAGTTGTCATAGTTGATAGTCTGAGTAAGATCAAGTGGTTAGTGCGATTTACGACTCCAATGGGTCTTTGGTACCTTTAACCATGTTTAGTGAAGGTTCAAGCGTGGATAACTCTCACATGCCTTTAATTCATAGAGTAGGTTCTCGATGCAAGATACTTAATGAACCTGAGAAGCTACTATTTCGGTGAGAGTGATTGCTAATGATGAGAACTTTCTAATGAAGGGATGATTGTGAAGGAGCGTGAAACAGTTTTGTTTTACATCAAATGTTAAATATGGTAGGACAATAATCAAACCTCAAGCAAGAATAAAAGGAAGATGAGATAGCACAAACACAAATTTATACAAGTTTACGTGATTTGATGATGATATGATAAGTGTAAAAAGCATGTAAAAATAGTTGTGTATTTGTACATAAATATTATGCTAATCTATATTTTCTATAGTGTATTTGTTTAGTGCTGTGCAGAAAATTTACTGGAAAACAAGTTAGAAAAAAAAAAGCCAAAAGTACTGTAACAATGCCAAAAGTACTGTAACAATGTCATTCTAGCAATGTAGTGTAGCAGAGTTATGGTAGCACTACCATGGAGCCGGTATCAGGATGGGGAGTCAGTAGCAGTGTCGAGGCACCACTAAACGTCGGGGGCGACACTGTACAGCGATGGAGAACCCAAACTAGAAAAAATGTCCAGAAACCTGAGAGCTTGACATTACATCACCTGAAATGCAGCACTGCAATGCCCATTGGAGCGCCACTCACAGCATCCTAAGGCCTTTTTTTTTTTTTTTGCTTTAAAACAGTTCTGACATGGATTTTGGCCGAGAATGGATAGAAAGGGTTTCTTGTTCATCTTAAGCAGGAAAGTGCCTAGGAAAATATATGCGTGTGTGATTTGTTCATGTGTGTAAGTTTGTGAGAGTAAATCAAGGACTTGTATTGTAAAATGGAGGATCAATCGGGAGCGAGAGGAGATTCAAACCAGGTGTGATTTTTCTTTTATATTTATACTTTGATTTCACTTTCAATAAAATTTAGTGTGTTCTTCATGTCAATGTGTAGGAACTAAGTTTTAATCTTCCTTGGATTGGTATTGTAAAATGTTATTTATTTTCATGTGAATTTCTTAGAACATTTGGTTAATAAGTCAATGCGTACTTCATTTAATTTCTTGCGCACAATTTTAAAACTAAATTAACTTGTGATCTAAGACAATTAATCATAAACTAGAAGTATAATTAAGTTAACATACACTCTCTTGGTAGAATAAAAATATTATCATTAGAAGATTGCAATCGCATAAAGGAATGAGGAATTATTGGAGACTTTACAAAGTTAAAAGGTCTTAATCATAAATATGAGATTCAAATGTTTCTTAAGTCTAAAAATAGAGTACGAAGTATTTGTCTCCTGATCGTCAACTACATTAGAACATAATTTGATGAAAATATATTTGAAATTTTTTAAAATCGAACTCAAGGAAGACTTTTTATTTTTAGTAAAAACTCCAAAATTAGTAAGTGTAGCTTTTCTAATTGAGAAATTTTAGAGAACCAACCAAAATTATTGAAACACCTTGAACAAAACTTGGAATTAACAAACTAGTACTTGAACTATTTGGAAATTAACTTGTTCCCGTGGAATCGATACACGGACTCAAAAATTATATACAATTTGTTCGACGCGTATACTTGCTAGATAATGTGTGTTTCACCGCACGTCAGATCAAATTTTATCTCATTTATCGGGTAATAATGTTAATTTTTCAAATTAGAAGAATATTACTTGAAAATTCAAGGTTTAGAATTGAAAGATTTAGTGTTATATTTGTTGTAAATTTTGTATTATGTTAAAACCTTATTGTGTTGTATTTAAAGTTATAGAAAATCCAAAAATATTGTGAATTGTGCTTCAATTATTTTATGTACATTGTTTGCTATGTCTTTATTAATATTTGTGCTTTATTTATTACTGTGATTTGTTAGTCTATGATGACTAGTTAAGTCTGAAGTTGTATGCATAAAACTGAATCTATTAACTAAGTATCGTTTAACCCTGAAATTGAAAGAACTGTAAGAAGAAGAAAAAAATAGAAAAAGACAAGAAATACAATGGGAAAAATGGCAAACCCTCAAAGTGAAAATGAGCAACTTTGATTCTTTAGGGATTTTGCCAATCCATTGGTAGAGGAAATACGCCAAAACATCGATCAACCAACCATTCAGGCTTAACAATTTTGAAGTCAAGCCTGCAATAACTTGCATGGTATAAAATAGTTAGTTTGGGGATCCACCAGTAGAAGAGCAGAATTTACATGTAGCCAACTTTCTAGAGTTATGTGCAATATTTAATTATAACTGAGTTTTTGACGATACTGTTAGACTTAGGTTATTTCTTTTTTCATTTAAAAAAAACAAAGATGCGGCTAAACTCTTTAACTTCAGGTCTATCATAACATTTAACAAACTTGCACAAAATTTCTAAATATTTCTCTATCTAAAACTACAAAGCTTAGAAATTACATTCATTCACTCAAATGGACTGTAAGTCAATTTATGAAGCTTGAGAGAAGTTAAATGCTTTTCTTAGAAAATACCCACACGATGCCCTACCTAATTGGTTGATTATAGAGACTTTTTATAATGGCCCAGTTTGATTATAGAGGTCTATAATAGATGCTGCAACAGGGGGTCTCTAATGTCAAAATCCTTCAAGGAGACCTATGCATTTATTGAGGAAATGCTCACAAATAAATTTCAAATCTAGAGCTGAATTACATGAACTTTAGATATTACTAGGTCATAAAACCGTCTCTCATTAAAAAAAAAACTTCAAAAAATTATTTTGCTTTCTTAGAAAAGCTTCAAATTTTTTATGAGCAATTAGATAAAATCTATTTGCAAGAAGAATATTGTTGAAATTAATCTCAAATTTAATATTGATCCTCATAAGAATAATCAACTACTTAATCACTTTATTATTAGAACACATGCACTTACGCATTTCGTACATTTGGTTCAATAATCATTTCATCTTTTTATCATAAAATATGCTTTATCCATCCGAGATATTTCTTGTGTTATAAACATATGATGAGATTTTTCATTAGATGTTAACATGATATTTCTATCATGTTAAGTATTTCATAAATTCATATGAGGTTTATTTTATTATTGTGATTGATAGGAAATAACTTGTCCACATTAATCACAGATTATGGCAATAAGTATTAAAATTTAAATTTTTTTGTCATGATGATTAAATAATTTTCATTATAAAACATTGTTATGATAATGTTATATATATGCAATATTTGCTTGTATCTATAATACATGTGTTATCAGTAGCACCTTTATGATTTGTAAGTAGGTATATGGATTCCTGCAATTATAACTCTTTAAAAATCATTAGATTTTTAGAGTTTATGAAAATTTTTATGTTTAATTTATATTATTAAACTATACCTAACTAACTATATAATAATAAAAATAATAAATGACAGATAAATTATATTTGAATGCATAACTATAGTATATATTTGAGAGGATATGTTGACATTTGAATGCATCTATTATCATTATGCATGTGAATTCTTATGAACTTTTATGCATAATAAGAGCATTAAATTACTTTTATATTTATTTTACGCTCCAGAGCTCCGCTAGGGCTTCCAACGATGATTTCGGTCGCAATTGATTCTACGGAGAGAAATCCTCGACTCTCGCTCCATCCGTCTGCGTCTTCGTCGGCGTCGGCGACGCTGCCCACTGCGCGCATACTGCGCGCGTCGTCGTCCCTCGATATCGCTACACCTGCTCGATATCGCTCCTCGCAGCTTCGTCGTCTGCGCCTGTTTTTTCTATTTCGGCGCTACTCTGCTTCTGCCCCTATTTCGGCTTCTGCATTGCTGCTTCTACGCCCGCGTTCCTCCGCCCCCCCGACAGCTCCTCTGCACTTGGCAGTAGTTTAACGACAGCCTCTCACCTCTTATGGAGCCGGACAAAGTCTCATTTGCCCATGTAGTGGGTAACCCTCAAGTGGAGTCCGCAGTGAAATTCCCCTCAAGTTATAAGGAATCTCGTGAGGGCACTGATGATTGTCCTTTTATTAAGAAGGGGAGCAGGAAAGGTGGAAAAGAAACAATCTTTTTCTCTGAATCAGAAATTTCTACTCTGACGGAAAAATTCAAGTTTGCTCTTATTGAAAAATTTCTGTGGGGACACCCTCCTATGAATGTTATCAGAAAGAGTTTTGATGATCTTAAGCTAATAGGCAAGTGGAAAGTGGGGCTCATGGATAGAAGACATGTGCTGATCCAACTAACAATGGCTGAAGACTACACCAGGATTTTCTCCAAGAAATATCTTAATATCGAAGACAAATCAATGAAGTTAATCAAGTTGTCTCCTAATTTCAACCCAAATCATGAAACTCCCACTGTACCGGTATGATTTAGTGTATGGTTTAGTTTACATGGTCTCAAGCTGCATTTTTTTCACTATCAGGTTCTCTTTTTTATTGGGGTCATTCTTGGGGATGCTCTTAAACTAAATTTGTCCACTTTCAACCTAACCAGACCCTCGGTGGCCAGAATACTTGTGGAAAGGGATATTACTTTACCTGATATTACTGAAGTTTGGCTGGGCACAACCCATAATTGTTATTAGCAACAAATCGTCATGAAACACAAACCCCCATATTGTACCCACTGTAAGATGTTTGGTCATATCATTGCTAAATGCCACAAACGTCATCCTAATTTGAAATCTATGATCCAAGTAAATAAGGATGGGTCTAACCCCACTGCTGTGGACATTTTAGTTTCACCTGAGGAGGATACTACCAGACATGAGATGTTTGTTGCCCCTGAAGATCCCCCCATGAAACTGTTGTTACTGCTACTGCGAGTGATGAGATGTCGGCACCTACAAAATCCATACAAAACAATACTGATGGACTCTTACCTATAAATGATGGTGTTCAGACTGATAATCAGAAGAGCCTCGCAGCTTCACTTCTTCAAGAAATATCTGGTGTAGCGGCAACTCATACTTCACATATTCCAGAACCTACTGTGGGTACTACTGTTGGTAATCTTTCATCTTCAACTCTACCTCATCAGGCTGATTTCTTTGGAGGAGGGATGACAAGTTTACACTTCCAGGAAGAAGAAGAAGAATGAAGATCTACTAGAGCTCAAGGGTTATGGATGATATTTTGATTACTACGGGTAATGATCAGCACCTTATCAATCTGCTAGCTGGATCCCTACCGGGTAATGATCAGCACCCATCTTTTACCTTTTTTTTTATGTATGTTGTACCGTGTGGATTGGGAGTTTAGATGAATTTATTTTCTTAGATTTTACATAAATTTGGATTCAATGAAAATTTATTTCATTTATAACAATAATTGTAGGTTTTTCATTCTTATTAATGCAAAAAATTGTGGCTTGTTCAAATCTAGTAAATATTTGAGACAAGGGATCCTTTTTTTTCAAGTTTATTTATTATTGTTGTGGAATATTGTTGGCCGGATATTTATTATTTTGATTTTTTGTTTAGAAAAAGTGATTTTAGATTTAATATATATATATATATATATATATCCATTTCATTGATAATGTTTATATCCTAATTAATAGCTTTTGCCTACTTAGTTTATTTCTCATAAACTCATTCATATTGTCTTATGTTTTTTAGGTTTTTAGTTGTGTGTGTTTGAAAAGATAGGATGTATTAACTCTTCAGACGTATCATTTCGAGATGATGAAAGTTATATTTTATTTACTTACTCTTTACATGATTAGTTATAATAGTTAAATTTTATTTACATTTTGGCGAATAAATTAGTTGTACTATTGGTTTATAGGCATTGATAATATCATAGGTAGACAGATATTCTTATATTCATGCTTATGAAAATTAAATTTATCAATTCACACCGTCATGTTGGGGTACTATGCAATTCATAAAACAAGATTTGTAAATAGTTAATGCACTTTAGCTCAGCAGTGTTAAAAAAATTTAACAAACCTAGCCAAATAAATATGCATCTCATTAAGCTAAAAAGAATGTGCAAGTGCAACATCAAATTTTTTGTAAATATTTCTCATATAAATCAAATTTATTTATTTGAAGAATTAAGCCAGAAATAAGCGATATCAAATGAAACGTAAGTGGATAAGGAGGCTCACCCCAATTATGGTATCTGTTCCAAACGCTCCCCTCCAACGAAGCATCTCTTCCCACATTTGAATGGTTTTCCCAATGTCAAATTTCTTAGCTTTTAAAAATCTGTAGTGTAAGAGAGAAGGATGTTGGGGCTTGTAAGTCTAAAGAGGACAAGAGACAGTGCATGCATTTGTAACTGAATTAGAGAACGTCTTACCATTATAATTTACAAAAACAATATTATGTAGGATTTGCTGATTCAAAATAATTTTAAGAATGTTTTGTTTCCCTTTCCTACTATAAATTTGAGAGCTAAATATTTTTTAAGATAAACCATTAGCATATTAATTTATTCAAATTATGTATGGACATAACAAAAATGAATAGGACGATCTTTTTCCTTCTGTAGAATCAAAAATATTACACAGATACGACTTATTTTAATCGATGAAATTACTAATGGCATAAACTATTCACCTAGCCCTCAACATGAAAAAAGGAGGAAATTTCTAAAAGCCGATTCCAAATTATTTAGATAAGGTTAATGGTTAAATATGATAATAATATGAAAATTTATCTATGGGAAAAGGGCTTTTCACTTCTTAATTTTATGCATTTGTAATATTATTATGCCATTGATTTAGATAATGTTGATATAAATTTAAAATTCTTACAAGTTAATCATTCAATTAACCAAGAATCATAAAGATAGTTGAAAACTACATAGCAAATTATGGTTAATTAATAGATTTATGGAGGCTTGTACATGTCATCTGGTCACCCTCATTATAAAAACTTGAGAAATTTAATTCTCAAAATTGTTCATGTGATTTTCTTTCACAAGCCACAAGATAGATATTAAAAACAAATTTAAGGAAAGAAATTATCCTCTAAGGAGAAAATTTAAATTAAGTATTCACATAAATGCATATGCATGTTGAATAATATTATATTATTATTCAAACTGAATAAAATGTTATTAGAAATGTTTCCGATCCCTACTTGAATATTACTTTTATTTCAAAATTCACATGCTCGTGTAAATCATGAATAGACATATGTCATTGTTGCGTACCAAAAATTCTTGACAGAGAAATGTTATCGTAGCTCAATATAGTTGTTTAGCACACAGACACAAATAAAGACGTAAGAGAACCCTATTACATAAAAAACTTTGAAAAGAAAAAAAATCATGGGGTCTGGCCAACATTAGTAATCTACTAGAAAATTGAAAATATGAAGGTCTACCCTGCTTATAAAATAAGAAAGATATGCATTCAATGAGAAAAAAATATAAAAAAATAGCCAAAAATAATTACTTTTGTCACAATCTAGTCGTGGGTTTAGAATTATATAAGGTTATAACGGACAATCGGACGGCGAGACCAAATTTGTTTACATTCATTTTCTATAAATAACATTTAACCATCCACAAATAAATGAAAGAGTAACAATATAAAGTAAATTAAACTAATACAGTTAACTTTCCTTCATTTCTGGTTGTACGTGTCTTCCATAAATAATTACTCTTTTACTCATTTTTACTTTGCAATTTTAACATGAAATATTAATTTGAAATAAAATGAGCTTGCAAGTCAGTGAATACTTATACTTTTGCGTTATAGTGATATATAAAACGTGAATGATATGTATGTTAGTCAAAAATACTATAAATCAATATAAAAATATTAGACAGTTTATTTTTTCAGATAAGATCGTTCACAATAGTTTATAACATTCTATGTGTTTTATTATATTAACAATGTGTATATATTATTTTATATATATACAACTGTCACCGGAGTATCGTCTAAAATTATATCAATTAAGACACATCAATATTAATATCATTTTTCAATTACATGCATGAGTATTTTTGTATTTCCTCGCTAGTGCCATAAAAGAGTGAACTCTCATAATTAAACATTCACATGCAAGCAAACAATATAGACAAACTCATTATTTTCACATCATTCAATGCATATAATACATTGAATTTCACAATAGATTGACATATACATATATCAATAACATACAATTCAATATGGTCAAATAAACATAAAGAGTAGATAAATTATTTTGTTGTAGTATAAAATCTTTTTGAACAATTAAAAGAATGTATCTGATTTTAAAAAAAAATCAAATAATATTATAATTTAAAAATACAACTAATTACCTAATTTTCACCATAAGAAATGATCCTTTCAAATTCTTTTATTCTTTCTTCGATGTTCCCCGACCTTAATTAACATTACCTTAAAAAAATATTTAAACACAATTTCAATTTTATAAAAGATTTAATTTAAATAAATCTAACGTGCCTTACTAAATTTTATTGAGTGGGTTGGTTTGATCCTCCTTTGTATTTTAATTCAATTGCTCAACAAATTTAATAACAATATTTATTCAAGAAATTTAAATAATAAATTAATAACATTTTTAAAATAAAAACAGATTGTATAAGCATAAAACAATAAACTTTCACCTTTTTCATCTTAGTTTTTCTCTTTTGTACAAACACTGACTTTGTTCTTCTCAATCCAAAACTTTTATAGTTTAATCCTGATTTAATCAAATCTATTGTTTGACATTTAAATAAATAAACATATAAATTTAATCCATTAGTTAATATGAAAAGCACTAACCCCCATATAAATACTTGGTTCGGCTTCCCTGCATACAAATGAGTGGCTCCTTTCGTACTCAAGACGCACGTTCACCATCTCTCTCATTATGCTCAAGCCCACACAGATATGCTCACAAAACTTGGAAGAAATATTACCTCAGGACTACGCATGTAAAGCTACGTGCGTAGTCCAATCAATGCCGCCCCGCGGAAAAGCCGGGCCCACCGACGAAATCAGGCTAAATAAACACGAAATCAGGTTAAATGAAAACTCGAACCCGACCTGACCGAAACCCGAACAATTTCCCGTCAGCATAAAAATATTTCATAACCTAGGTACTGTTCTATTGCAACTGAAGAAATATTTCGCAGCTCCGTACGCACGTAGCTAGGGTTTCTGTTTAGGGTTTCGATGGACGTCTCCTTGAACGTAGAGATGCCGGAGGAATTATATTCATCATGTACCCTGAACTTTGAAGATCAAGTGAGTCTGTATTGATCTCTAGTTTTATGTTAGCTTAGGGTTGTTATTGTGTTTGTGGTAATGTCATTTTGTTTGGACCGTTTATATTTATAGTTTACTGGTATAGTACTTGGAAGGCAACAAAATTTTTGTTAATATGGTAAAATTTTGGGTATTTTACTGCTGTGATTTTTGTGTTTTTATGGTGTTAAGCTTGTGTTTTTTTTGTGTTACTCTTGTATTATTCTGATGTTACTCTGGTATTACTCCAATGTTATGTTGGTTCTTATCTTTGATTTAATATTGTTATTGTGATATAATAGTTGGTTTAGTTTGATGTAAATATTGGTGTTGATGTAGTGTTATTGGGTGTTATTGTACAGTGTTGTTATTTGTATTATAATAATGTTATTTTTTGTGTTATTATGATTTTAAGCTTGTGTTTGTTTGGTGTTACTCTTGTGTTATTCTGTTGTTACTCTGATATTACTCCAATATTATGTTAGTTCTTGCCTTTAATTTAGTACTGTTACGGGGGTATAATAGTTGGCTTAGTATGATGTAAATGTTGGTGTTGATGTAGTGTTATTAGGTGTTGTTGTATAGTGTTGTTATTTGTGTTATAATGGTGTTATTTTTTGTGTTATTATGGTTTTAAGTTTGTGTTTGTTTGGTGTTTCTCTTATATTATTCTGATGTTACTATGGTATTACTTCAATGTTATGTTAATTCTTGCCTTTGATTTAGTACTGTTACTGTGGTATAATAATTGACTTAGTTTGATATGAATGTTGGTGTTATTATGGTGTTATTATGGTGTTATGCTGATGTTATTATGGTATTATGCAGTCCTATGAGCCAACACATGTTTGTAATAAACCAATTGCAGAGAAGTTTCTAAGCAGCACTGTCCACAATGAGCAAGAAGCATATGAAAGCTACCATGTCTATGAACATCACGTAGGATTTGCTGTTCGGAAGGACCATACTAGCTACTGGTCGAACTCCAAGAAACTAAAGATCAAAGACACGTTCAAAAAAGAGTGTAACAGCATGGTCACAGTTAAGTTCACAAAAGCTGACACGAGGACTGGTTGTAAGGTCATGGTTCGATTTGTTGTTGATCTCAAAGGCAATTGGACAGCGGCGAAATTTATTGAAAATCACAATCATCATTTCGCCGAAAGTTGTGATAAGCATCTTCTTCATTTCAGCAGAAGAATAAGTGAGTTGAATGCAGATGTGTTGAGATCAATGACAGGTTCAGGGATCGGAGCAACACATACATACAATTTCATTGCCACAAAGGTTGGTGGTATGGAGAATTTGGAATGCACTAAGAGAGATGCATGATGCATTTAATTTCATCTAATTTCATCTAAAGAGAAAGAAGACAGAATTGAACAGGGAGATGTCAATGCTCTAATATAATTATTCATGGAGAGGCAAGCTGGGGATAACATGTTTGCTTGGAATTTCCAAACAGATGAGTCTAGTAGGTTAATAAGCATTTTTTGGAGTGATAGGTTATCCGGACTGAATTATGACTGTTTCGGGAATGTGATAATTTTTTATACAAGCTACAGATTAAATTGTGGGACACATTTAAAAAATTATCTGTAGATCTTGACGATGCTCTAACAGGGAGAACAACCGAAGTAAAGAAAACAAGAAAGAAGAAAAAATTTACAAATATAGAATGAAATGTGAACGATTCTGCAAAAATAAAGCCGAAAAGACTATCTACATCTAGGTTGAAAAAACATTGGGAGAAAAATAAGAAAGCTAAGAATATAAATTTGTTGATTTAGTATTTCCTTCATTCCATGTATAATGCCTACTCCTAACTTTAACAATTGCATTTAGAAAAGGAACAAGAAGCATCAATTAGTTGTGAAGTTGTTAATACATTCGAGGAAAGTTTGACAGATTGTCTGACCCAGGTATGTTCTTGCACAGTTAAAGTAATAATTTTATGCAGATGCATAAGAAATATGGTAGCAAACCCTTTGGGAAACATATCACCAAGAAAGC